CAAAGAAAGAAATACCAGGAGAGATGTAGGGTCTGCGGCCAGGGCCGGAACTGGAGACTCTAAGAACAAAGCGAGCAAGAGGAGGCTGTTCTTTGGACACACGAGATGGCTCTGGAAACAAACGAATATAGAGGTACCGATTCTTCTCTATAGAAAAATGCCTGATAACCCAACAAAAAACACTCAATTTCAGAACCCGTATCAGCAAAGAAAACAAAGAAACCAAAGAAAAAGGAGAGTTGGGCAAAAATGGTTTTTGTGGGAAGGAAGTACCAATTCCAAATTCCGAGCTTGAAAGGATCGGACCTTTTGTAAGAGCAAGGCCCGAAATTCTCGACTCTCCATTGGGCAAGTCTTGAGATCGTCTCTACTTTTGAATCGGCCATTGTTTTGAGCTTTCTTTCTGACCAGCCTTTGAAGTTTTTGATGAAGGTCTTCTCTAACTCTCTGTGACTCCTGACTGACTTGGTCTTTGCTTTGTTGAGTGGTCAGTTGATTTGTTTACTTTAGACCTTCCTCACAAAGTTTTGTATACAAAACTTTTTTTACGGCAATGCCAAGTACGTGGCGTGATCAATTTCAAGTCAAACTACACCATTTGTTTTATAAATTCCTTTTCTGGCATTTTTTTAAATCTTTTGTCTGATTTCTCAGAAGGTTTTGACAGGATTATTTGCGGACATGATCATGGTGGCAAAGGTAGTTAGTAGTAGGTTATTTCTTTGGGGACTCTTTTGTTGAAAGTAACCTTTTCTTTTCTTCTCTTTTCTTTTTTTGATTTGTTTTCTACTTTGCATTATCAACCTTGCTGTGTAAGTAAAGGTGTCCACCAACCAAACGGGGAAGAGCACATGACTAATAAAGAAGAAAGCAACAAAAGAAAGGCACAAAAAACTTAATAAACAAAGCCTCATTTTAATCATAAAGAAAAGGTTTAATCAGGGGTGGTGCTTGGTGATATAGTGTTTTGAAAAGGAGATGGTGGAGATCATTTGTGTATAAGTTGTGGTGGTGGAGAGAGAGCTTTTAACACAAGGAAACCAATGTGGCCAGTTTTAATTTCTTCCAATTGTGTTTAGGTTGGGATTGGACTGGACTAAAATTGTCCAATTCTACCTCTTTATCCACGGCCCTACCCACAAAACATAGGCCAACGAACTCCTAGTAGGCCTGAGAGGCGGGTAAGTGCAAATAATTTTATTTCCACTTTTTTTTTATTTTTTATTTTTAACAAACAACTATTTACAAATGGAAAATGCTAGGCTTACCACATTTTTCATACCACATTGATACCACCTCTCTAATAGAGGTGGGCCCCATTGTATTGGTGGGCTCCACCTCTATTAGAGAGGTGGTATCAATGTGGTATGAAAAATGTGGTAAGCCTAGCATTACCCATAAATCAAATCAACACTAAAGAAAATTGAGTAAAAATAAGTTCTCAGCACGTTGTTTAAAGAACAAAAGTCATGCACAGA